CAAGCCATTTGTTTCTGTAGGTTTTTCTATATTTCTGCAAAGTTTTTAATAGTAAACAAAAGGATAGTTTAAAACCGTAAGTACTTTTGTAGCAACAAAATATAAGTAACCACAACATTTTTAGTGTGTTAATATATATATATATATAACAAATTTATTATTATAGCTTAAGTATTTTAAGTTGAATTTCTACTGAAAGAGGAAAAAATACATTTTTTTGTACGTGAAATAAAATTTAACAAAGCCATGGAGAAAACTACTTATTTCTTCTCATTTTGCAGGTCAATTAAAATTAAAAAATTGGTAACCAACATAACATACACTGTTTTACCGTCGACACTCTGGACACACTCCACACATCTGGATAGGGGCGAACGAAAACTTTAGACTAAAAGACATATTGATGGCAAACACAATTGTCTTGGGTTGTCTCGGGGGAAAGAAATATTACAAAGGATGACGTTGAAAAGCACATTATGCACATTAAGCATACATATGATAAGATGAAATCACAGGTTTGTACTTCAGCTGAACCCTAGTGTTATTTAAGTAAGTTTATTATAAATAAATGTTGCAGTTAAAGAAACTGCAGAAATAAAATAAAAATTTTATACTACATGAATTATTAATTGACTTCATTCATTTCATTTTTTAATTTATAAGAGAAATACTTGTTTATTTTGTTTTACTGTTTTTTATATTAGGTATATTCTAATAAAATAGTGTTTTATTCTACAGGAGAATTATATTTTTGTGTACTGTTTTATCCTTAAAATAGAAAAATAATTTAATTTTTTTTTCAAAGATATGAAATTTGAAAACTAATTGCAATTATTGCTGGTTTTCAAAAGTGGAGGTATTTTTATTGTATAAGAGTAATATTTTTTTATTTTGTTAGTGTTTTTCTATATAATATATATTATAGTTTATTGTAGAATATATTCAAACATATATGTTTTTATTGTTTTTCTAATAAAATATAATTCAGTTAAATGTGCTTTCTTTGCATTAACATTGCAAAACTAAACAATCCTAACAACAATATGTTATTATTTGGGGATGTAATAATATTGTGTAGTGTAATGCAGTGCAGTACAGTATAGTGGGTTGTTCTGTGTATTGTGGAATTATTGCTTACCTTCAAAGTTTTGTAATTTGATTTCAACCTGATGATGAGGTTAAAATCAAATTACAAAACTTTGAAGGTAAGCAATAATTCCACAATACACAAAACAACCCACTATACCGTAATGCACTGCATTACACTACACAATATTATTACACCCCCAAATAATGCAACTATACGCCACAATTACGTGACCAGTTCAGTTCACTATTCGGTAACGAAGCGTCGTGACGAAACCGTGACAAATCATCGTGAAGAATCCGTGGCGTATTCTTAACTACATCGTGAAGATTTTTATTCATATTAATGTAACGTATTCGTCACAAAAACTATGCTTAAATTTCCCAACTAGCAAAATAAATCCCTTAAAGAACTGAATTGTTTTATAACTATCGTCTAGAGCTGCAAAAAGAACATTTTTATTATTTAATGCGTCTTATACAATAATTTTATCGTAAAAACGACGAAATTCTAATACATTATTGTATATATATTCTTACAACTCATGTTATAGAACCAAACTCATACACATTTTTTAACCATTGTATAACGTTTTATACAATCCCTTATAAAATTATTTTAAAAGAGTTGTATAAAAGTTATAATAGAGTTGTATACCTATTCTCATACTTGTAGTTTCAACGTTTTATGATAGTTGTAATAGAATTTGTATAAAAGTTGTATTGAAGCTCTATAAGATACATTAAAAAATTGTTTTTTTAAGCAGAAGTAAACACACTACACAATAAGTATAAAGTTATTTTATAATTATCCCATAACTACACCGATTAACTTCTTTATAGAAAGTTTATAAAATAAAATTATCGCAAGTTCTGCGTTATAATTTTATTACTTAAATAGGTTAGGTCACATGTAGATAAAGAAGGTACCGCTAAAAAGTGGATAAAACAGAACACAATTGTATAGTGCGGTACAATGCATACCTTAAGCGATATTATTGTTCTAATGCGCAGTAGGCAAAGGCGTTATAGCCAATACGAAAAATGAACTTACAGGGTTGTTATTTTAGGCAGCAGTGTTACCTACAAATCCTTATTTGCATAAAAAATGAAGGTAACGTCGTGCAGGATAAATAAAATTTTACTTGATGTACCTAACTGCACCAAAAATGAGTATTTTATTCTAAAAAATATCAAATAATTTGAAAAATACAGATAAAATCTGGCAACATCTCAAATGTCAGTTTCTTGCTTTACTTTTATAGCGCCTGTATTAAACAACTTTACAGAACCTAAATATCGTATAACGCACGCGACAGAGCAGATAAATTGTATAACGTTTTTATAAAGACAAAACCATTTTATAACAAAAACGCCATATTTATTGACCGATCAATTGTTTATAAATCGCCGCCATTGTGTGAATTTTACCAACAAACGTTAAAACTGTCAATTAAAAATGAATTTTCTTAAAAAAAATTAATGTAATCTTAAGACTAGTCAATTAGGTATAAACTGAACAAATAAAACAATAATATTCTTAAAAAACATGAAACTTTGTCAAATAAAAAATTAATTTTTTTTTTTAAATAATTTTTAGTTGGTATGTTTGTTAACTGGCGCTTTAATTTTTCGTTAAAAATATATACATATATTGTCAGAAAAGATTGCTCCGCAGGAAGATGTTGTCCTCGATAGCGTAAATCTCAAAGGTTTAATAATTATATTTACATAATAAACAACAAGCACCATTTTGGATCTTAGCCGTTTGACATCCAACATAATTCGCATTATAAAATAGTCTTAGGATAAAAATTTCCCACTCCATTCCTAATTTCTAGAGAAGGAAACAAATTGATGTTCTTATAACGATTCTGTCGCATTATAACATACTTATAAAATGCTTGTTTTAATATTCTATAAATATTCGTAAAGTGCAATTAAGCTGCAGAGTAAAACCGCTATAGTATAATCGTATAGCAGTTCCCCAGTATACTGATACTGAGTTTTATAAGGGTTGTGTAGTGTATTTATATAACTGCTAACGAAGTAAACTGTTTTATAAAACGGGGCCCTTTCTGGTTGAGTAAGTGTTGTATAGTAGTTTTTAAACGCATTATACAATTTTAGCGTTTCTATAATATGTGTTGTATAGCAGTTCTAACAACACTTACATAATCAATTTTGTTAGCTGGGTTAGCGCGGTTTGGCAACTGTTTTTAATTAAATACGTTACGATTTTTAAATAACGTCCAAGTCACGACTGACTGAAAACGTCTCGTTTACGTCAAGATTTCGTTACGTTGTGCTACCTGGGCAGTACTCACTGACTCCCCCTATTTTTTAGTACGTGCGCCAATGACTTCTAAACGGTATTTTTTCAGGTAATCATTTATTGTTGAACATTTTTTGTCTCTTATAAAATTTTGATAAAATGATTTGTGTTAGAGATAATTTGTAAAGTATGGGTCAGTCCATATCGAAATTTAATTTTTTTTTGAAAAAGTTTAGGTCATGTGATATATCATAAAAAAGGTCTCTAATAGGCCTTTAAAATAAGCCACCACTGACCTTTCTACTTTTAATAGTTTACGAGATATCGCTATTTTTGTAAGTACTTGCAAGACCCAAATTTATCGGAATTTTTTGATTTTCAAAAATCAATAAAACAAAAGCCACCTATCGAAAAAAATTCATATATGGGATTTTTGAGTTTTTTAGTGAGGTAAACAAATTTACCAAAAATTATCAAAATCGGAGATGGTGGGGGAAGAACCTTTGGTTGATTTGATATGGACTGACCCATACTTTACAAATTATCTCTAAAACAAATCATTTTATCAAAATTTTATAAGAGACAAAATATTTTTAACAATAAATGGTTACCTGAAAAAATACCGTTTGGAAGTCATTGGCGCTCGTTCTAAAAAATAGGGGGAGTCAGTGAGTACTGGACCCCCCCTATTTTGATTATTTGACAATTGTTTTTTGTTTTGTTGGTCTCCAAAAATGTAACTATTTATATTGAAGTAGTGTACCGAATTTAAACTTAATATCTTATAAATTACTCGAATTATTAAAAAAAATCAGTTTTAAATTTCAAACTTTGTCGCCCTGTATATCGAACATGAAGCTCTAAATTGAAAAATGGTATTATGAAAGTCTTATTGTTTTAACTCAAAGAATATATGGTTAACGGATTGACCTCCTTTTCCCGGACACCCTGTATGATATATTGTATTGACTCTTCCAAACTTTAAATTTAGGCAATGATTACAGATTTTTGTCCAAAACTGAGAAAACAGGAACCATTTTTTGAAGTTTTTACATTTTTGTATTATACATTTTAAATGTGTAAATTTGTTTAAATGGAATTATTTTTTGGAGAAGAAACATTGCCTTTAAATAATAATTATTTATTAAATGTGTTCTTTAAATTTAAACCAGGAATAAGAACAAAATAAAATAAATTATCAATGAAATATTTCTACTTATATTTGTTATCACCAAAAATGTGTAATAATAAATTATATACTAACAGTTCTTATTAGATAAAAAAACGAGATTATATAAGAAATAAAACATTTCCAATGTTAACTTTCTAAAGAGCTTTGCGCATTATTATAAGAATATAATTAATTATATTGATTTATTAGTTGTGTTCTGCATTACTATATTCTGACTGCTCGCGACTGTAATAGTTGTTCTTAGCTAATTTATATAAAAGGTGTATTTATTTAAATAATTTATATTCGAAAATCATATCAATAAATGAAATATAAAATTTCGTTGTTTTAATTGGTACCTACTTCTGTCTGTTTTAATATATTTGAAGACAACCCTGTTCTTTTTAAGGCAAAGTAGATTCATGTAATTGGTTTTGGAAAGTTTTCATAGATGTCGCAACTGTTGATCACCGTTTTGACATGTAAAAAAAGTGCTGTTAACGCAACATCTTTTTGAAATCTACATTGCAAAAATATGCTTCAATTAGAGCAAAGAGTTATAAAGTAATACTAATATTTAAATTAAAACTGCGCATATAAAATGGAAAATTCTACGTTAAATAGGGTAAGTTTAAAACTAGGTCACAAGATTTTAAATATGTAAACAAAGCCTCGACTAACTTTTAATACTTTTTAAGGCTCACCAAGAACAACGAAAAGCCGATGCTCTATTGAAGCAAAAAAAGTTCGACGATTGCCTGGCATGTCACCAAAATGCAATTGAACTATTAAATCAAACAATCAAAGGCACAGAACACCCGAAAGCTTTGGAATCGTTTAATTTGCAAGTGGAACACCATGAAAGACAAATCAGATTGATAACAATCAAGAAAATTCAGTATGAAAACCTGAAAAACGTCGACAATTTCAAGACTGATGTTCACATAAGCAATGAGTTGGAAAGTCAGATTAGCGATGAAAGTTTGCAAGTTATTTATGCTACAATGGAGCAGCATGATTCTTTTATAAGTAATTAATGGGGTTTTTGTTAAAAAATTCGTTAATTATTTATATTGCAGGTTACTTAATTAAAAGAGAGTCTGGAAGTGATAATGACAGTTGTTCTGTGAGTGATAATGATGAGAAGGTTGAAAAGGGGGTGTTTACTGGTTTCAAGCATCCAAAAGATGATGCTACTATTGTTGAAGAGTTCAAGGAGCTGTGTAAATCCTACAGGGATTCAATTAAAATCCTGTTGGTACAGCTTGAGGAACGAAACAGGGAAGTTAAAGAACTTAAGTACAAAGTTAGACAATTGGAGCAGGATAAATTTAAAGGTATATAAATAATACATAAATAAATCATAACATATTTTTATTTTATATTTTTCAGCTCAATCAAAAAGCAACAATAGCCTGAAAGTAATAACAGACTCTTCAGGTGCGACTTCACCATATGTGTTCTCTCCTTCAAGCGAACTAAGTCCAGATGTTAGGGAAACCAACGAGTTATTACAGTTAGCCCCTCTTGAAATGCCAAATTTCGATTTTACTAATTTTACTAGTAGCTTATCATCCACTATGAGCCAAAATAATAATAATTAGTTTATATATTTTTTAATTAATAGTTAGTTTAGTTGATTCTCCCTTTTAAATTTAAGTTTTTCATTTTATTTTAGGTTTATAGTATGAACTTTATACTATTGAATTTAATTCTTAACTTAAAAAATCAATTGATTAAAAACTTTTTTTGTAAATTTTTTATGAAATTGTTAAAATCAGTGTATTAAATGTTTATTAATTTTTACTTATAGTATTAGGACTGTTTTTATTGCATATTATTTTATATACTGTAAATGTTACTGCTCATATTTTTTGTAAATATTGTTAAAAACCTAAAAATCTCTATCAAATAAATTGGATTGTTCTGGGAATGTATTAGTTTCTGTAATGTCATGTCAAACTATTTATGAAATATTTCCTATGCAATAAGTTTGGTGGTATCTAAAATAAATTATAAATTATTTACTTAATAATATAGTCCAGTCAAACGTTAATTTAAAAACCAAAAAATTTTTGATGGTGTTCCAAAGAAACATATGTTTGGCCCCAAATTATTGTTACTCGCCCCTAAAATTCAAAATCCATTCATATTTCATTATTAGGGACCGCATTATACAGGGAGAGTAGCTATGTTTAAAAAATTAAGTAGCTATGTACAAAAAATTCTTTGATTGATTTTAAGACAAAAAGGTCATATAAAAATGGGTCCGCAAATGCTTCGTTTTCAAGAAACAGTGTTAAACTTTTCAACCAATACATCTTTTTTTTCCTGTATGTATATTTTCTTGTATTTTTTGTTGCTTAATGCGAAAAAAATATAAAAATTAAAAAAACTTGGAGGCGTACATTTTTTTGTCAAAAATATTCGTTAAGGTGCTGCCTTGTTTTGCCCACCTCCCGTCTGCTAATTGTACGAAAAATTTAAAAAATCAGAAAATTTGATGTTAATCAAACTTTCACCTCGAATAACTCTAGAAGAAATTAATTTATCGAAAAATAATAAGAGACCATTTTTGTGGAGCGTTACATTTTATATAAGAAACTGCAATGATCATTGCCATAAGTTACTTTGATACAGAGGTATAAAATTCCAAACATAATAGTATATTATGTATCAAGTTTGATAAACGCCTTTTTATACACGAATTTAATTTAGACACGAGCGAGCTTGCGAGCGAGTGCTTAAGTTAATGAGTGTATAGAAAAGTTTATAAACGAGGTGCATACTATACTTTTCCTACGACAAATACTTAATTATTATCTTAAAATGATTTAAATCAAAAATTGGTATAGAGCGCCATCTATGAAACAATAGGAGAATCTGTGTGTCACTGTCAATTGTCAATTTTTTTTTATTTTATAAACAGATTATAAAGGTTATAATCGAAATGTATTTCTTGAAAATTGACAGTTTTTCACAGTGAACGTAAAGAAAATGTTTTATGAGCACCCATACAGCACAAGATGTCCAATGGACGTCAAATGGATTTACATTGGACCTTTGGATGTACAATGGCCGTCCACTGGACGTCCAATGGATATATGTGCTGTGTGGGCACTTTACAGTGGAGTCCGTGTCCGAATTTAAGTTATAGTTTACTGCCGGCGAAATTAAAAGGTCAGTACAATGTTCATATAAACTTTTCAAATATTGGCGTTGAGAAACTATTTAATACTTTTGTATTTTTGTAGGTATTGAGATAATAAAATAATTTTCACATTTAGTATTATTTTACAAGAAAGGCACTTTATTTTAACGATTGTATGACATTTGACAACTGTCAACTAACTTCAGCCCGTGACTAAAGCGCCGTAAAGCCACAACTTGTCAATGTGTATTTAAAAGGTCACTTAGTGTCATGGAAACATGTACGATAAAGGGGGTTTTAAAGGTGGGAGTAGAAAATAGTATATTACACTACAAGGGCAGAAAGTGTGAGATTCCTGCACTGCGCGCCATCATGGCGCGCAGTTCAGAGCTCTCACACTTTCTGCCCGTGTAGTGTATACTATTTTTCTTACTACCTCGGCCGAAAATACAACCCGGCCGAAAATACGGAAAAAAAAATAAATGTGTATTTATGTACAGTTGTATTCATTAAAAAAGCGTACAAGAATTAGAATGAGAGAAAACTGTCAACATTATTGCGTAAAACCGGCTTTCCACTGACTTAAGTCACTATAACTGACAGTAGAAAATAAAAATGCCTCGTCAGTTAAAAAGGCTCAAATAGTATCAAGAATCGAAGAAGAATGGTCAATTCGTACCGTGGTATAATAGAAATAAAAAATCTATATTAAAAATTAATAATTTTTGTAATATTATTTAATTAACCTACGACGTCAATGCTCTTTATAACCTATATTAATTATTTTAATGACTTATGTCAGTGATAAGCCGGTTTTAAGCAATAATATTATTTTGACAGTTTTCTCTCATTCTAATTCTTGTACGCTTTTTTATTGAATACAACTGTACCTATCTCCATTTGAAGAGCTTGATAAATAAATAACAGTAGTAACTTTATCTAATCTATGTAACAGTAGGCTGTGAATTCAGCGGTGCCAATACAGTAAAAATAAAAGGTTGTATTTTAATTAACAAATTACTACTTTATAACAAATAAAAGTACCATTAAACACTTAAAACAACATAAAAAGTAAAAAAGTAAAAACATAAATTGTTTATTTGTTGTTATAATTGAAAAATTATGGTTTAAAACTGCCATATTTTTGTGTTTCTCATGTTGGCAGTACGAAATTTGAATGTTAAGCACACGACTAAAAAATTTTTACTCCCGCTATTAGAGTGTCCCAGGTAGCACAACGTGACATTAAAAATTAGAAGTGACGAAAACGAGACAATATTTCGTTACGATTAAGGAAATTTTAATAAAAAGTAAATAAATTGCGTGACGCCAAATTCGTGACGAGGGGTCTATGAAAATACGTGACGAATTTTTTCATAAAGTCGTTAGTCACACGAAATAGTGATAATTTTACTTTAAATTTTGGTATAAAATTCTTGACGTGCAGCTCGTTACAAGAACGTTACAAAATATTTATACAAATCGTCACGAAAACATCACGTAAAGTCGTGACACCAATGCGCAGTCGCCAATATATTCATATGTTCATCTAGGATCTCCATTTTGAATGTTTGGTACCGACCCAAGCCATTGGTTTCTGTAGGTTTTTCTATATTTCTGCAAAGTTTTTAATGGTAAACAAAAGGATAGTTTAAAACCGTAAGTACTTTTGCTTTTCTATATTTCAGTATACTGTATACAGTATAGCTTAAGACAATTGTCTGCAATGCTAAACAACTCCACACTCTAATCTAAGAAATGTTTTGCTGTAACAACAAAATATAAGTAACCACAACATTTTTAGTGTGTTCATATATCCTTAACAAATTTATTATTATAGCTTAAGTATTTTAAGTTGAATTTCTACTGAAAGAGGAAAAAATACATTTTTTTGTATGTGAAATAAATTTTAACAAAGCCATGGAGAAAACTACTTATTTCTTATGATCATTTTGCAGGTCAATTAAAATTAAAAAATTGGTAACCAACATACAGTCGACACTCTGGACACACTCCACACAACTGGATAGGGGCGAACGAAAACTTTAGACTAAAAGACATATTGATGGCAAACACAATTGTCTTGGGTTGTTTTGGTGGAAAGAAATATTACAAAGGATGACGTTGAAAAGCACAGCTGAACCCTAGTGTTATTTAAGTAAGTTTATTATAAATAAATGTTGCAGTTAAAGAAACTGCAGAAATAAAAATTTTATACTACATGAATTATTAATTGTCTTCATTCATTTCATTTTTTAATTTATAAGAGAAATACTTGTTTATTTTGTTATACTGTTTTTTATATTAGGTATATTCTAATAAAATAGTGTTTTATTCTACAGGAGAATTATATTTTTTGTACTGTTTTATCCTTAAAATAGAAAAATAATTAATTTTTTTTTCAAAGATATGAAATTTGAAAACTAAATGCAATTATTGCTGGTTTTCAAAAGTGGAGGTATTTTTATTTTATAAGAGGAATATTTTTTTATTTTGTTAGTGTTTTTCTATATATATATATATAGGTACATATAATATATATTATTATAGTTTATTGTAGAATATGTTTTTATTGTTTTTCTAATAAAATATAATTCAGTTAAATGTGCTTTCTTTGCATTAACATTGCAAAACTAAACAATCCTAACAATATGTTATTATTTGGGGGTGTAATAATATTGTGTAGTGTAATGCAGTGCAGTACGGTATAGTGGGTTGTTTTGTGTATTGTGGAATTATTGCTTACCTTCAAAGTTTTGTAATTTGATTTCAACCTCATCATCAGGTTGAAATCAAATTACAAAACTTTGAAGGTAAGCAATAATTCCACAATACACAAAACAACCCACTATACCGTACTGCACTGCATTACACTACACAATATTATTACACCCCCAAATAATGCAACTATACGCCACAATTACGTGACCAGTTCAGTTCACTATTCGGTAACGAAGCGTCGTGACGAAACCGTGACAAATCATCGTGAAGAATCCGTGGCGTATTCTTAACTACATCGTGAAGATTTTTATTCATATTAATGTAACGTATTCGTCACAAAAACTATGCTTAAATTTAGCGCGGTTTGGCAACTGTTTTTAATTAAATACGTTACGATTTTTAAATAACGTCCAAGTCACGACTGACTGAAAACGTCTCGTTTACGTCAAGATTTCGTTACGTTGTGCTACCTGGGGTGCGCGTATAGCTTGACCAATGCATAAAACGTAAACTTTCTGCCGTGGAATCGGGGACGAAACAACGTATTTTGAGTCGAGGTAGTAAGAAAAATTATTTTTTTCCATGTTAATTAAATGGGAAACTAAAATAAAAACAGCGACCTCTTGAGCTGGAACGCCCATATTTGGTGAAGATTTTTTTTATATTAAATAGAAACATTTGAGAGGGTAAGAGCGAAAAAAAATTAAATTTTATTTTTTGAAGCACCCTAATTTATGTAAATATGATTTTATAAATTTTTTGTTTGTATAATTTACACATTTCATGTTGGTTTCACTTATGCGCCAACACATTTTATAAAATATCTTGCTTTCTGGCAATTTATACAAAAATTAACCTC